GACCCACCAACTAAACATTAATAGTTCAAAATTAGGAAGTTGTGGAGATGGAAAAAAAATGACACTGGCACTTTGATTACAATTAAAAGAAATTGAGCAAATGGTTGGTTTTCTCCATAACGACAACATAATTATCTATAATTGAACATTTACATAATTCTAGAGGTTATGCATAATTGTGAAAATATGTTTGGCAACCTTTTAATATATTTTATTTTATACTTGTCTTATTTATTTTGATGAGGCTAATTTCATATTTTTATATGTGTATGTATATAGATACGTGCAGAATGGATGTATTTGCCTATATACTATATGTATGGATGTATATATGTATTTTTATGCAGTTGAAACCAGAAGTTTACATTCACTGTATAAAAAGTCACATAACCATTTATAAAAAAAAGTCAGATATTAATGTGACTAAACTTTTTCCCTTTTAGGTAAGTTAGGATTATCAAATGTGTTTCTGTTATACTTAATAGCAGAATAATGAGAGATATTTTTTGAGAAATTCTTAAACTTTTCTTGAAAGTCAAAAGTTTACATACAATAAGATTATTATGCCTCTGATAAAGCTCAGATGATGGTGTCAAGGTTTTGGAAGTTTCTGATTGGCTAATTGGCAACATTTGAGTTAATTGGAGGCGCAACTGCAGAATAGGATTTAAGAAAAACCTCAAACACACTGCTTCCTTGTGTGACAACATGGGAAAATCAACAACCCAGAATCAACAGTAAAGCCAGATAACAATTTGCTAAATTACACTGGGAAAAAGAATAATTTTTGGAGACATGTCCTGTGGTCTGATGGAACTAAGATTGAACTGTTTAGCCATAATGACAAGTGTTACATTTGGAGGACAAAGGGGAAATCTTACAAGCTTAGGAACACCATCCCAACTGTGAAGTATAGGGGCGGCAGCATCATGTTGTGGGGCTGTTTGGCTGCAGGAGGGATTGGTCCACTTCACAGCATAGCAATTATTTAGGTAATCCGAATGGACCTAAAAATAGTAAACACTGTTTTTTTTTTTTTTTACCACCAGTCCTTTTTTTAAATGGTTATGTTTCTTTTTTAGAGTGTATGTAAACTTCTGTTTTCAACTATATATATATATATATATATATATATATATATATTGTCACAGTCGTGGTTAGGGAAAGGAGCGAGGACTCAAGTGCAGCAAATAATGGGTGTTTATTAACAATAAAATAAAAATTAAAAGGCAAAACAAAACTACCCCGAGGGGGAAAACATTAACAAAACACCCAAACAAACTTGGCTGGGCTGACAAGACAAGACAAGACAAGACAAGACAAGATTGGAGCAGGAACACAGAGGGAGTGTAGACGACAAACTGGCACAGAACCGAAAACATGGGGGGATTATAAAGCAAAAAGTAAATTGATACACAGGTGAACATGACAAACTAATAATGAGTTATGACACAGCGCATGACACAGAGAGACAACACAAGCCATGCTCTCACATAAAACAGGACCAGAACATGCAGCCAATGAGAACTCATTAACCGCATGTTCATGACAAGACAAACACAACACTGAAGCACACGACAAAAGCACGTGACCACAATGTAAACACCGAGCCATGTGCTTTGACAAGAGACGCAAGACACAAGCACACGATAGATAAACACCTTACCATGCGCTCACACATAAGCAACGCGCATGCTTCATCTCAGCGCCAACCAAAACTGAAACCAACTAGACGGAATAAAGAATAAAGAGCAATAAAGCAGCGAGAATAAAGCAGCACGATACTGACAGAACAAACACAAACACTAGTACAAGAGCGCGCGCGTCTGAGGGACGCAGAGCGCGCGCGGCCACATCAAGCGGCAGCGCGCACACTCCGTGTACACCCACGACGGCGCGCGCGCACACAGAGACAGAAACAGGACCAGACATGGGTAGTGTCAGAGCTCTGCCAACAAAACAAGAATTTACAAGACCAGAGTGGCAGAAACCTGACATATATATATATACAGTTACGTCTTGGTCACAAATTGCCGTCGAGCACGAATCCTAAGAGGGCCATTGTCATTCTTTTTTTCAATGCGCATTTTCAGTGACGAAGTCTGGAAGGCTGCCAGAAATTCTAAGTTTCTACAGGATAACAACCTTCGCATCTCTGAATTTCTATCACCTAAAGATAAAGCAGCAAGAGAAAAACTATGGCTGATTGTAAAAAAGGCAAGAGAGGAAGGTAAAAGGGCTGTATTCCATGGTCAGTGTGCATTCGTTGAAGGGAAAAGAATTGATGTTACTTGACTGTATAATAAATACAAAAGGCATCCTTAAATTACAATTCTAGTTTGTTTTTTACATTTGTGATAATATTTTGTTGCATCTCTTAATTTTTTCAACAACTTCAAGACTATAGGCTTTAGGTCTTGCAGTTTGCAGTTTGGTATTTGGTATTGTATTTCCCATATGTATATGTTTATCCTTACCAACTGCTATTTCTATGCTGCTTGAAGAGCATTAAATTAGTAAAATAATTATTTTTTTTACAGTAGGTATCCCATTAAAACAAACAATCTGTTCATGTTTTCACTGTATATATACTATTAAAAAACAAAAAAGTCCTCTTTTTACAGTAGGTATACTATTAAAACACAGAATCTGTCTGTTTTTTTACAGTAGGTATACTATTAAAACACAGAATCTGTCTGTTTTTTTTACAGTCGGTATACTATTAAAACACAGAATCTGTCTGTTTTTTTACAGTAGGTATACTATTAAAACACAAAATATTTCCGCTTTTTTACTGTTGGTATACCCTTAAAAACACAGAAAATAACCGTTTTTTATATAGAAAACCCTTAAATTACTATGAAATGGTTCGTTATTTTGCAGTAGTTTAACCGTCAAAAAACGGATATTTTTTTGTTTTTTTAATGTGGACACACTGTCAATTAACAGAAGTTTTCTGTTTTTAATTTACGGTAAAATATTTGTGTAATGAGCTGCCAGTACATTTTACCGTTTTTTTATGGAATTTTTTTTTAGAGTGTAGATTGATCCAAGTGGATGCTGCACACTGGTGGTGGTGTGAAGAGACCTCCCCTCATGACTGTGAAGAGCTTTGAGTGTATGGCCATACACAATAAATGTGCTATATAAATACACATTACAACTTGTTAAAAATCATATTTGCTATAATTCTCTCAGCTGTAAACCCAAAACTACATTTAGAAGGTGTTGAGTTGACTGATAAAAAATATACTAACAAACATATTAGTAATATTTTTTAGAAGCAAAATAAAATTATTTTAAGGCAAATTTTTCTTGAACTATATTATAGTTAATATTAATTGGAAAAAAAGCCTGGTTAACTCCATTCAAATACACTATTAATAATAAAATTAAGGAAATCCATTTTAAAATATTACATACAATTTACCCAGTAAAATCGTTTTTTATCAAAGTACATTAAAATGGAGGATATCTGTGGTATCTACAATGCGGATAAAGAGAGCCTGTGTCATTTGTTTTTTGAATGCAACATTGTAAAGAATTTGTGGAAGGATCTAGCCAAATATATTTTTAAAAGGACAAAACATTATTATTATTTTACATTAAATGATAATATTTTTATTATGAAAACAAATCCAACAAATTTCTTGAATATATTGTTAATCTCTTTATTTTACTGGCAAAGTTTTACATACACAAACAGAAAATTGCTAAATCATCTCCCACATTAACAGTTTTTTGTATCGAGTTTGACTTTTTTATTTCTTCAGTCAAATTGTTGAAAAGCAAAAAATCTGAGGTATGCATCAATTATTATAACTTTTTCTGATTCCCCTGTCAGTTCTTAAAATCATTGGATGTAGAAATGCTGTACAATATACTTTGAGTAATTTAATTTATTTTTATTTTTTATCTTTGTTGTTTTTTTTTCCTTTTATTTATTGCTTTTTACCATTGTTGTATTAGTTTTTTGTGTTTCATAATTTGTATTGTATTGTATGTTTGTTCCTGACAGTTATGCAATAAAAAAGGAGTTTAATTTCCTAAAGAAATAACAAACTGAGTGGTTCACACCATCCAACCCAGTTTGCAAAAGAACTGCACCCTCCCCAGTCTGACTCGGATCCACCTGAATCATAAAGATATAAGATTGTCATCATGGCAAAGACTAGTCAAATTAGTTTAGAAAACTGTTGAAAACAAAATCTGTTAAACAACACTTTCACATATTTGATGCAATACCATTTTTTCTTTAAACTTCACAAGAGGGCTGATATGTTTGTCTTTCGTTGTTTTTCCCTTTACCTTCTAATGCCCTATATAGAAAGTCTAAAATGTCTATAGAAATGGACCACTTGTTCAATAAAATGCCAAATTCTAGGGACATTCCTAGCAAAACAAACAATTAAACAAACATGACCTGTCACTCAAAAGCAGCTTGCTATAGCTATTCTATAATTTATAATAGCCAATATGGTTTCTTGAAAGCTTTCTTGTATAAGCTGTTTATTTTGTCATTCTTTTAACATACCACTGTTGAATATGCAGATTTATATTTTAAATACACCCTTTTAAGTAATAAGCTACATCTCCTGTGATTCTGACCATCTTTTTGTAAAAGCAGTGATATTTCAATAGCATTCAATCCCACATTAAAACATACTATAGTAGGCTAATTTATAGGAATAGCTATAGTGTTTTTAAACTATATGCCTATTATAAAAAAAATAATTATAGTTGCTCTGTTATCCCAACAACTATAAACATAACCCAACACACAAAAAAAAAAAACATATTGAAAAACACTATAATATTTACTATAAATGAACATAGTATTTTTTCATGGGGTCATTCGTCCGCGATAAAAAATAATAATAATAAAAAAAAACACGAACGCGATCTCCACCTCTGGCAGCAAAACAGCGAGATTCGGGATGTGTCTGACTTCTGATGTCTTTTTTGAGCCCTCCTCTAATACCTGCTCTCGTCTACATGCAATCAAGGCGCAGGGCGCACCTCAAACGAGTTTGCAAGGGTGATTTAGACACAGCCCAAATGTGAGAAGTGGTATATGTTGAGTCATCTGAGTGAGCCGCTGTTTCCATCCGTAAGCCATTGTGAAGTGCAGGGTAAAGTTGTTGGCAAGTAAGTTTGTTCCTTGACGGTATGTTTGTAATTTTGTATGTTTGATAGGCTATGAAGTCTGTGATGTTGTTAATGAACCGCGATCGACCGCGAACTTTGGTTTCCGTGTGAAAAAGTGAAAGCTCTAGCATCGGCATTGCGGCTAATCCCGATATCATCGTTGGCATCTTGTGTTTGATTACAATAACAGTGTACTATATTGCACATTTGTTTGCCTTATGCTGTCGCACGTCCTTTATATAATGCTGCTTTAGTCATTAATGTCCATTTATAATCTGTTTACACCACTGTTACATCTGTTACATTAGTCTGCTGACTGCACTTTCAGAGAGTTGTAAACACTGTATTGTTTGTAACGGGATATTTATGTTGTCAGTACATAAATATTTTTCATGTTTGATATTTTTATTATTAATTTATACTTATTGTTCATTACAGAAAACTACTTCCTTTTCTCACAATTAAAGGTGGAAAATATCTCCTGACTCCTACTCCTTAATCAGAGTGCTGAAGTGGTCAGCAACATTAAAGAACTGACATGCTAAATTAAGCAATACCCAACAGCAGATATTTGCTGAGGACCATATTTAGTCTTATCAGTATGTACCAGGGTTTGCTCTTGTATAAAACTTTGTCGGTCAGCACAAATAAGAAGACGGAACAAGATCAAGACTCGACTCTTTCCACTGCATTGACACCTCAACATGGGTAAGAAATTAATATCTATTATGCATATTATATGTTTATGAAATCCTTTCAGAATATAAATACAAGCTTGTTTATAACACAGACAATGCACAGAGATCAAATGAAATCCATATTATTAAGCACAAGATACACATTTACTTTCTCAAACAAATGACCCTACATACAAATATTTGCTTCTAATGAATCCACACACTGCAAATGCAAAGTTATTCAATATAAAAGACTAATTATTGGTTTTATTTTAATGAGGTTTTATTAAAATGTTTGAGAGGAGCATGATCAGATATACTCTAATAGCTAATAGTTCAGAATTTAGCAGCACAGTGACACACTGACAGTCCTTTCTGCGCTTCCTTGTATAGAAAACAGCAGTTTTGGGCTGAAATATGTGACTGGACACTCAACAGAAAAGAGCACTGTGGAGGATGAGGGATTGGGGATTTTTTTGGCCTGCATTTTCTTTTCTACCATCATAGTGGGTCTCATTGGAAATGGTCTGGTCATATTTCTGGCCGGCTGCAGAATGAAGACGACTGTCAACTCCATTTGGTTTCTGAATTTGGCGATTGCAGACTTCATCTACCTTTTATTTTCAGTCACAAATTTTTGCTTAATCTTGAGCAAGCAGCACAGTGTCTTTATAGGCCACATTCTCTTTATGACAACAGAACAAAATGTGTTTGCTAGCATTTGGTTTCTTGTAGTTATCAGTCTGGATCGATGCCTGCGCACATGGATGGCTGTTTGGGCTCAAAATAACAGAACTCTGCGTAAAGCCAGAATCATCTGCATCATCATCTGGGTTTCATCCATCGGCTACATTTCCCCTTACTTTCCTTTACTTTCCCTACTAGATGTTGAGGTTACAGGTACAAATGTCACATATGGATTTATAATGACCTTTCTCATCCCCTTCTTGATCATTGCATCTTCATACATCGCTATTGGAGTAAAAATCAATCGCCTCAAAAAGAGGAAGCAGCTCAAGCCATACAGACTCATTATAACTGTAATTCTGATTTTCTTCATCTGTTCATTTCCACAACATGTTTGCTGGTTTTGGATGGCAAGGGCAGAAAATATTAATTGGACTTTCACTGGTCACTTTTGGGTGCTATTTGGTTTTACTCTCTACCTGGTTAATCTCAACAGCAGTCTGAACCCATTTCTCTATGTGTTCATGTGTGATGATTATAAGAAGAAGCTGAAACAGTCTCTGGTGCTGGTGCTGGAGACGGCGTTTGCTGAAGATCATCTGGACATTAAAGATATGAGACAGACACAAACGGATGAGCAAGAGAAGAAAACCACAATTGAATTGCTAGAAATATAGAAAACTTTTTTTGGGGAAAAAAATGCAATGATTGATAATAATGCATATAATTATCACAGTTAAACAGTAACTGTCATCTGTATTTAGCATAATTGTCTGTCTAAGACATATCTTGTGAATTATAGTTTTATAAATACAGGTTTTGTGCTTGATTTAGTTATGTGTCTGTAGCCGCTTTTCTACTATCGTGCCAAACCGTTCTAAGAACACTTCAGTACGGTTAAGGTTGTTTCTCCACTGAGCCTGGAACGGCCCGGCACAATTACAAACCGTTCTCGGCATGGAATTATAGCCCTTATAAGCACCAATAAACTAGTCAAATAAATGAATTAATTCAATAAATTTGGATTCTTAAATGTCGGTATTGCTTTTAAAAATATATCACTAGGTTTTGACAAATGTTTTATAAATAATAAAATGAGCTTTTTTCATCATTTCAGCTGTGGGCCATTATATGATTCAGTTATACATAAGTTTGACATTTATGGGGAGCATGTAACATGTTTCAGATTTTTTGTTTTTTCGTTCCTCGGTGATCTTTAATATATAGGCTACTGGGCAGCTGCGCAAAATATTTTCTAAAACGTCAAGCAGTAATTTATCTAAAGCTTGTTAATTATTAAGACAATAAATAATAATATAAGGGTAACAAAATAACAAATAAATATAAAATAATTCATTTATTTTTTTGTTGGCTTAGTCCTTTTATTAATCCGGGGTCGCCACAGCGGAATGAACCACATACTTATCCAGCAAGTTTTTACACAGCAGATGCCCTTCCAGCTGCAACCCATCTCTGGGAAACATCCACACATACATTCACACACACACACTCATTCACTATGGACAATTTAGCCTACCCAATTCACCTGTACCACATGTTTTTGGATTGTGGGGGAAACCGGAGCACCCGGAGGAAACCTACGCGAAGGCAGGGAGAACATGCAAACTCCACACAGAAACGCCAACTGAGCCAAGGTTCGAGCCAGCGGCCTTCTTGCTGTGAGGCGACAGCACTACCTACTGCGCCACTGCCTCGCCCTATTGTTTTCAGTGTCTGTATAATTACTTAAGGCTGATTTCATTTTTTAGTTCGGTGCTTGTATTTACCAATCTCTGATTGTTATCTCTGATTCCTGATCTCACAAGAAAACGTAAGTATTTTACGTTTTGTGAGTTTAGTGGCTGATTTGTATGAGTTCAGTCGTATAAAATTGTACGATTTTATAAAGGAGGCGTGGCACCTAACTCCACCCCTAAACCAAACCGTCATTAGGGGATGAGCAAGTCGTACTAAATTGTATGAATTAGTTTGTATGAATTCATATGAATTAGCCACTAAATCAAAAAGTTACGAATTGCCATGAGATTGTGTTGGTATTTAAGGCTCAGTCTGTCTTCAATGATGTTTGTGTCGTTGACCTGTTCATCTATTTTATTAGATTAAAAGCATTGCTGTGTACATAATTTATTTCTATTCTCTTTAATCAGCACTAACACTTTATTTGTCAGATGACCATTATTGACCAGTTAAGGATTTTTTATGATATTAGCTAAATCGTTACAGTCATTTTAAAGCTTTTTTTTGTCTGGATTCTGTCACTCCGGTCTTGGTAATTCTTGTTTTGGTGGCGGATTCCAGACACTAGACCTGTCATGTCTCATATGTTGAATTTTCTTTCATGTCTGTCATGCCGAACTCTGCATCTTTTCATCTTTCATCCACTAAGTGTTCTCTTAAAAAGCTGTATTTTTTTTGCTGAGACAAGCTTTTACTGAGGAATAGAGAGGATCCTTAAGCTAACAATATCTAAATATTGTTTTGTTTTTTTATTCCAACATAGGCTCATTCTGAAAATGAAGCCCTATTTACATTTCTGGAGACCGCAAAGTATATGGGTAATTCTTCAACAACAGGCACTTTTATGTCTTTTGATCATATATCCAAAAATATATATAATTTTGTTCAAGTTCCTCTTTCTTTGTCAAATTAACACTAAAACCTATCTTCAAAAAATGTACTAGCTTTCTATTTTATTTTTTTCATATTATTTATCCTCCTTTGAGGTGTCAAAGTCACTGTTTTTGCTTTGTCGCACACTCAGAGTTTTTAACTTCAACAATGAAAATAATATTGAAAAATATTATTTATCTGGTAACTATTAATGTCATTCTAAGCTCTTTGCCTATTCACACACATGCACACGTCAGGTGTGCGGCTGCGGCTGTGTGAAGTAAGGGGTTTTATTCACCTTAAATAAAGCGATTCTCTTCAATGTAGTTAATACAGACTAGTTCATGAATTAGCTGCGGCAAAAATGGCGATTACAGATGTAATTGTCCATGAATCTGCTGTATTAGCGATTAAAATTACTTATCTAGTTAACATTAGCTTGTTGCTAACGCTAAAGCCGTTTCCCATGCATTGTTTAATTTGTGACGACTTTGCATTATGTTAACTTAACATTAACGACCACAATTAGCATATTGTTTAGTTGTGTATTTGCTAAATGAGTACTGTGCACACTAACCCCACTGTATTTTTGTATAATCAGTTTCTATTGTTTTAAGTGACTCAATTAATTTACAATTAAAATGTTAACCTTTTTTAATTCTTTGTTTTTATTGTTGTGATTATTTTAATAATAGTTTTGCATTCTTTATGTAAAGCACTATGAATTACCATTGTGTATAAAATGTGCTACAGCATAAATAAACTTGCATTGCAGTGTCATGTCTTGGCAAATACTAAAAAATGACAAGAGAAATAGACATAAGATCTTTTTTCAGTGCAGCTAAACGCCAAGTACAAAAAGTTCACATATTAAGGCAATTTGGCTTTAAGAATGAGTGCTTATGAAAATACTAATGTCACAATATTAAAGAGCCCATATTATACATGAAATAGGGTCATATCTTGGTTGTAAGGGTCTCCAACAACAGTCTAATATGCATGCAAGGTCAAAAAACACTTTCATGGTCTTATAATCTGCATTTATTTTTACCTAATTATCCCAGCGACTCCCGTATGAATCGTCCAGTGATTCATTTGTTCCCAAACCCCTCCTTAGCGCGAAGCTAATCTGCGCTGATTGGACTGATGACAGTCTGTCACGATTGGTCGACTGCCTTCAGTCAGAGAGTGAAATGGCCAATAGCCAATCAGCAATAGATAGTGTAGGCGTGGATTTTAGCTGCCACACACACACACCTCCGGACGACAACGATCCCGCTTCCGCCCGCACCCGCTAGGTTTTAGCCTGAGAACCCGCTCCGTTTTCTGCCCGCCGCGCCCGATCCCGCTAGAGCGGGGGAGAACACAACCAAAAATCACCCAGCTATACAGTCCAGACAGCCAAGCTGTCTGTATAAACACACACACAGCACCAAGCACACAAAGCTCGTTTGCTCTCTCTCTCTCTCTCTCTCTCTCTCTCTCTCTCTCTCTCTCTCTCTCTCTCTCTCTCTCTCTCTCTCATACGCGCGCGTGCGCACTAACACACACACACACAAGCACCAAGCAGACTCTCTCTTTCTCATTCGCATAGCAATATCCGTGATATTGCTAGATAGCCTGCTCCTGTCCCAAATTAAACCCGTTACCGACCGCTCCCGCGATTTATTCGGAAATTTATTCCCGCAGTTGTCCCCGCGCCAGATTTCTGCGGCGCGGGAATAAATTTCCGAATAAATCGCGGGAGCAGAACTCTAACACGGAGCTCCATAAACAAAGCAGCACACGTCGCGTTTTTAACGTGACTTTGCACGCGATAAGAGAATATAGCCAGTTAACCTGATACAGTACAAGCGGTTACAAGTAACAAATCACAACTAAATACATTTGCAAGCTAGAGTCAACGAGGCAACAACTTTAACCGCACGTACTTACACTTGAGAAATGGAGGAAGAAACCCATCCTGACGTCCAGCTGTAAGTAACTCTTTACTGATCCTTCCTTTAACAAACGCAGATGAAGTATTCTTTGTAGCATGTAGCTTCCAGAAGTTTCCAACTGCTTGGTTATAATGCTGATGTTTCATCTTTGGGTAGAGACTCAATATAATATCCATCTGCAGTGTGACTTCAATCAACCGGCATGTTTGTGGGCGTGCGTTTGTGGGTGTGCGTGTGTTTATGGGTGTGTGTGTGTGTGTGTGTGTGTGTGTCTGGGTTTCTGCGTCAGAGGGCGGGGCCTCAGGTTTGAAATCTCCCGGGTTTGCGCGTGCACGTGAATAACTTGGTTTCGTTCGTACGTCATGGCGAAACACCTAATGACTCGGTATCAAGGCGACTCGTTTGAAGCACTGAGTCGACTCTTTTATAGATGAATCAACCGTTTTAAACACTGTATTCTTACAGATTTAAGCCTTAGCTGGATACTTCACTTCACTTAGAGCTGTGTTACACACTACATGGAGGGGAATTTTCAAAAACCCATAATATGGGCTCTTTAATAACAGGCAAAGAAGAAAGAAATGATTGAGGAACAGGCAGAGCAGGGTCAGTCAGATGTACAGTGTCAGGTAAGGGTGTTGTGCTTTATTGAAGGGATAATGATAATTCTTTTGGGATGAACAATTTTTTTTTAATGTTTTTGGAGTTGTGGCTGTTTAGCAGATGAACCTCACAGGCTCACTGATTTACAATATGATCGGTCATTTTAACAAGTGTAATGTAAACAAGTTAGTTATTATGAGTATGGAAAATGTATTTTCCTGCATTTATTCTGCTTCAGGACTTCAAATAATGCAATAAATAGTTTTGAAGAAAAATTTGCTTTGTCGTTGAATCTGAGAAAAACTTAATCAAAAAATAAATAAAAATTATCATAATGACGTAATCTCCATGCTATAATATTAATAATGATGAAACCATTTTTAACTGCGGGGACATAACTTTATTAGTACAGTTCGGCTGTATTATTTGTGTCCCCTTCAAAAAAATGCTGAAAATTGTTTTTATATTTATTGTCCCCCCCTACTGTTAAATCAGATTTTTGCCCATGAGTTCAAAAGAGGGTAAATTGTTAATGAGCGTCTCGCTGGCACATCTGTGACTAAGACAGCAAGTCTTTGTAATGTAACCACCAAGAAGAAGAATCACATCCAACTGGAGTAACTGTGGACACAAGAGGAAGCTGTTTGAAAGGGATGTCCGGGTCCTTACACCGATTGTATCCCAAAAAAAAAGATAAAACCACAGCTGCCCGACTCACTGCAGAATTAAATGGTGCACCTCAACTCTCCTGTTTCCACTAAAACTTTTGGTCGGGACCTCCACAGCGTAATATACATGGCCAACTGCTCACTCGTGCCATTCCCAAACGCCTGTTTCAATGATGCAGCAGCCAAAATCTTGTGCTGTGGATAATGTGAAACA